TTCCTACCGGCAGAGAAAGAAAGACGGGGGATCTGGTGCACCCCAGAAGTATGAGCCTTTGGAAGAGTTAGGAGATTCCACCGCGGACGCCCCGCCCTTTCAAGTAAGTAGTTGCATGGTCATGTGTCACATCATTACTCACCTTTCCACAGCCCAGTTCAGATGCACCGTACGACCCGCCGACAGCCAGGCTATCGTCGTTCCCTCCTGGATACGTTGTTCCTGAGATCGGCTACGAGTACAAGTCCCCGCCAGACCGTGCAGACGCCCCTAAGAAGACGCCTCCACCGTCTCCTTCCCCCTCCCTTCCACCGCTTCCGTCATTCCCTGGGGATGCTCCACCGCCGTACGGGCCGCCGACCTATGTGTCTCACGTCGGCCCTCGACCACTATAAGCTTCTATCTTCTCTCCAGTCGCTAAATTATTTGGAGAATTCTATGTTATCGTCTTCATTAGAGAGGCATCATATACATGTATTTGTTGTCCGATTGTGTTCTAGACCAGTCATCACGGCCGCAGAGCCTCTCAGACTTGCTACTATAGCTAAAATGCGCTAGCTTTGCGAGCGCATCAGTACTACGTTATTGTTTGATGACATGTTCTGTGCTAGCACCCTCTAGTTGGAATGCAGCAGATCGTTCCTTCAGCTGTCAGGAGTAGTTGCCTGTGATCTAGTGGTGCAGCACAAAGCCAGCCGTTTTGTTTAGTCTGGCTCCTAGGAGCTGTACACACCCAAATTTCGAGAACACCGATCGAATCGAGGCCGAAAGGCAAGAGATACTTCAAGAAACTCGAGAGTCGAGACTCGAGAGGTAGTCACGGACAGAGCTGCTCCAGTTGAGTTGAGACATCGATGAAGAAAAAGAGGCCTAGGTTCGAACTAAAGACGATCATCAGCTTGCGATGACCAAATACGCCATCTACCCTCAGATTTTCCTGATTCTCCCCTTATCTTTAATGAGCGCCTAGATAAACTACAAGCGAAAGCTTCGCTTGATACCTGCCGCCAAACGTCCAGCCTATCCGCTCAGACATCATCGTCAAGGCGCACGACCTGGGCATCGCGCTCGGTCGTTCACCTATTTCCGTCGCTGGTGGCGCGATTTACTTCACGTGTCATCTGCTCGGCAAGCCCAGGAGCACTGGCGTGAAGGCCATCAGCGTTGTTGTCGGAGTGAGCGAGGCGACAATCAAGTTGGTGTATAGGCACTACCATGCAGAGAAGGGGAAGTTGGTGAAGGAAGAGTGGATCAAGGACGGGCGGGCGAAGCTTGAGCGACCCCCGTCGAGTTCTCGAAGTAATCGATGGATGAATTTATTTTGAAGTGCATGGACATCTAATGTACCGTATCTCCTTTCAAGTACCTTCATGCTATACAATTGCCTCTACGAGGTCGGATTTGGATTTGATGTAATATACAGGATATAAATTTGAACTTGTGTATGACGAGTACCAGTGAAAGTGTCTCTGCTGCGAAGTGTCGATTTGTGCATTTGAACATTCCTCATCGTGGACAGGTTGCCACTTCCCTGACCATCTGTGGGAATCGCTGATGAATAAGCTCGCAGTCAAGTTACAAGTATAGCTAACACACCACCAGCACCACCACTGGAGGCTCCCGCCACGTTGGGTCGTCGTTACCAAGAACAATCTTCGCCCCCTCAACGAAGCCAAACGAGTTGTAGAAACCAGTGTTGATGAGATTACTTGAAAGCAGAAACGTAGCACGTCTCTGGGCATCCGCCTGCCCAGGTCTCAGTATGAAGGTCGCTCAAAACTCAATCCACTCACAATTCCAGTGACAGTTCGTATCAACGCGGACGCATATCCACGTCCTTGCTTCTCTGGAGTAGTCGCCAGGATCTGAAGGTAAATAGCTTCCTCCTCGCGGTCGCCAAGAGCTTGCGACGTCGCGCTTTACGCTGAGCTCCTGGATTCGCTGGAGAGACTGCATCAGCAAAAATAGAGCAGGGTAAAAAAAATGCATTTCTATCATCACCTGTCTCTGCTGGGCTGTAAAGGTAAGCTTACTATTCATGCCTAAAGCGCCGACGAGTACGGACACAGCAGCCTTGTCCGTGCGGCTAAGAGTACTTTTTGCTGGGCCACTTTAACGGAATAGTAAGAGATGATCAACGTCGATGACTGAGATTCTCACTAGCAGATAATAGCAGCTCCGTTGTCGATCGTCCACGCCAGTCCCTTCGTAACGCAGTAGCCCCAAAGTGCGGAAATCTCAGTGCGACGGCCGAGCATAGGTAGTGCGCTACCATGGTAGTCCTGCGTAAAGTCGAGTCAGTTCACTATGGATGTTAGGTGAATCCCATTTGCTGAAGTGTCACGTAGCCAATGGTGGGACGGATCACCTTTGAAGGCTGCTTCATACGTTCTCACAGCCGTCGGTACGTCCGCTGTGGAGAGTTGGGTGAAGAAGACTGTTTCCGTGACTTCCACATCTCGAACTCACTGTATGTCATCGGGCGTGGCGATAGTACCGGAGCGTCCGTCGCAGCCGCGGTCAAGGATAGGGTAGCTGGATCGGCTTGAGTGGCTGGTGGTGCGGAGCTCATTGGTTCTTGTGTGCTCATGGTTCGGGAGGATGCCAAAGACCCGACCTGAGTATACTTTCATATCACCCAGCTGGAAGAGCGCAGTACGCAGCAGCGAGTCCGATCTGCGCGTTTCACAATATCGCTGGAGACAGAGACTAGCACCACAGAATGTTGCACAAGTCTAGCAATGCGCAAGAACCGCAGTACTTGTCGAATAGTAAAATGACCAAGTCATGGCGCGCAGTCTGACATCCACGCAATGCAGCACGTGGTTCAAAGGTTCACTATTGCATAATGACCGCAGTCTCCGCGGCTGCTGCATACGCACGGAGCACTAGATAATTTACAATCAGTGCGTGGTTCCTCGGAGGAGAGAGAGATACACTACTATGCCTTTCATTGAGAATTGAAGACAGGAGATCTGATATCGGCCTTCGTACGCATGCTCTAGTTAAAGCTAGACAGAATTGCGCACAAATACATACGACAGAGCTCACACTTACTTGAATTCGATCGATACTGATCCTTCAAGCCGCGGCGTCATTACTGAGCGCTGCGAAGTTGATTACAGTTGAAGTTAAAGCTGAAATTTGAAGGTTTAAAGGGTTTTCGGGCACCTGCTGGCCTTCAGGGATGCATTCGGCATAGCACCCCGAAGGCAGCAATCGCAAGAGAAGGTTACGGCGATCACAGCTATCTTCAGTTCCTCTGACTCACGCTCGAATCTTGGCTGACTGACTTTTTGAGAAGTCAAAATTAATAGTACAATAGCTGCGCTACAAAAGGATATCCATACGACAGCAAAAGACAAATGGTATGGAAAGAGGTAAAACACCACTGGCACACCTACAGGAGCTTCGCCTCCCGTTTGGCCTGCTGCACTTGTGCCAGCCGTTGTTGCCGTTGTGTAACTTGACTGCTCTGCGTGCCCTTCTTATTCGTGCTGCCACCAGTGGCAGCAGGTGCTATCGCCGTCTGCGACAGTGATATTCGGGTATCGTCAGATGCGAAGCCAGGTATACGAATATTGTGGTTCCGCTCTGCGTAGCCATCCGTGAGTCATGCCCTTGGTCCGACGGAATAATATCGAACATACCCAGATGTAGCTGGAGATCTCGCACCTCGAGCGTGTCGCCATTACGGTGTTTCGCCAGTCGGCAGCCGAAGTTTGTGACGGAGTCGATGAACTCGTCCGCGATGTCCAAAAGGAGCTACACAATGGTATCAGCATGGTATGACTCGCGGGGTTGAAGAGTGCACATACATCTTCAACCTCGGGCTCGATCTTCACGTTGGGGTCTATGCTCGCGACCAGATCCTGGATTGTTCTCCGCATGCTCTGATCGCCAGGCGCATTTTTCCTGCGAGCCCTTGTATCTTCAAACGTGTATGACGCGTCGTCTGCGCTCCTCGCGATCTGCGCGGGGGCTCCTAAACGTCTCGCAGTGCTTCAGCACGCCGACCTTCAAGAGAAGCTCATACAGTACTCACCAGCTATCCTCCCTGATGCGATTCCAGCTGTCAAACTCGGTCTGCCCTGCTGCGCTGTCTGCCATTGCTGCGGACCAGTCCCTGTAACGGCCGGAGGAGTCGCGCTGATGGGGTACGAGGCTTCATTTGCAGGACTTTGGCTAAGGAACGGACTCGTGGAAGTTTTGAGATTAGGGTTAGGAGCGGCAGGTTCAGGAGGTGGAGGTGGAGCCTAAGATGTTTGTCATACTGTAAGCGCGAGATCTTCAGGAGGAGACGCGAGACGTACCGGTTTGTTGTTGGGGGCGATTTTGTACTTATCTACATACTCTTTCAACTGACGATGCGTAAATTGTTGGCTCAAGTGAGCATGCCACAGAAGAATAGGCCTCGCACCTGCTTGATCTGTTGAGGATTCAGCTTCCCCTGCTTGGCGAGCTCGCTAAGTTGGGGCATGTTTTGTAAGAGGAGTTGCGCAATTTTGTCGTTGGAAACATTGTCGCCCGTTTGTGCCTTGAAAGCTGTGCCAAGGGCAGCAATGATGTTCCCGGTGCCGTTACTCAAATCGCTCGCGGTAGACGATGATGAGGAGGCCATGGTGGTAGGGAGGTTAGGTCTCCCGAGATTAGTTCGAGATTGAGCGCCTTACCAGCCACCTTGCACAGAATATACTTACTATCCCGGCGTCATCG